ACCCAACAAGGATTAAACATGATCATTTTTGAATAGAGCCCCAACAGGGAAGCAGACAAGGGGAAGCCCGATGGTTCCCCCGTATCTCAGCACAGAGCGCTTCTCTCTGAATGTTTGAAGACAGCACGCTGCGCAAGGGGAGGGGGACGGATCCTGAGCATGCGTGCTTCAGGGTTTTGGAATTTTCAGGTTCAAGCCTATATAATTAAGCCCTAGAAGCCCTTAGCCCTAAACGGCCCTAAACCCTAAACCCGATTCAGGGTTTCCTGTTTGGGGCCTCTGCTTTGGGGCTCATTAAGGGTTTAGGGTTGACCTTAAAAGGATCCCATGATCCATAAAAGGTAGATGATTACTATGCATCCCTGTATGGCCAATGAACCTGAAGGTAAGGTAGGGTTTGGGGGTTGCTGGTTGGGGCTTTCGGATCGAGAGATGGATAGATAGCTAGATCGACAGATAGATAAAGATAGACAGATAGACGGATGGATAGAAAGTCAGATCTAGATCGATGGATGGATAGAAAGACGGATAGAAAGACGGACGGATGGATGGATGGATGGATGGATGGATGGATGGATGGATAGAAAGGCGGATGAATGGAGGGATGGATGAACAGGACAGTCATGGAATCCTCGAGCTGAGGCTGTGAGAACGCGTAGTTTAGGCTTCGTAGGCGTAGTGCCGTGTGATTGATCCTTTCCTTCTACCAGGAGCCTTTTGTCGCCCTGTTGGCGACATCTAGTAAAGCTGGGATTAGAAGCTAACCCTTTAAACCCTAAACCCCTAAACCCCTAAACTCTCAACCCTGAAACCCTTTAAACCCTAAACCCCTAAACCCTAAGCCACAGGGTTCCCGCCCACCTCTACCCAAAGCAACACCTGAAGACTTGCCCAAACCGGGCAGTTCTTTAACCTAGGGCCAGTTTTAAGTCCTACTACCCCTATTTCGAGAACTACCCACATGCCTGCTTCAAGGCTACAGTTGACCATGGCAAGAACAGGAGCCCATCTATTTAGGGTGTAGGGTTTAGAGTTTTAGGGTTTAGGGTTTAGACCACTGACAGGCAAACTAGGCGCCAAGATCAAAGCACCGTGCCAGGACCGTAGACGATCATGCTCCTGCATGGGACTTTAAGCAGGACTGCTCAAACAAAGCAGAATCAAGCCTAGTCCATACCCGAAAGATTACTGGAAGTTTAGGGTTTAGGGCCTAGGGAACAAATCGGAAAATCCTAGAATCCTAGAAATCGGCCGTTTTTTCGCCTCCTGCTGCTGGCTGCAATGGACTCTCCCAGAGAGCTGTCGGGTGTGGAGGCAATGGAGTCGCCACTTGGTGCTTTTCACTTGGGGGTTCCAGGAGATCTGCAGCACGATTTAGGGTTTAGAGTTTAGGGTTTCGGGTTTATTACGATTTTCACTCCAGAGAGCCCAATACCCCTTAATTAAGGCATATACCTTAAACCAAAAGGGTACGGCCCCTATAGTTTAAGGTCTATTCCTTCTTTAAGGGGTATTGGGCTCTCTGGGACTTGGAGGTTCCAGGAGTTCTGGAGTACGGTAGTATTACGATACCCATACTTGGAGGTTCATGGGTAGTTATAAGTGGGGTTATAATTATATAGATTAACTATAGTTATAACTCATATTAAGGGACTTATAACGCTACTTATAACTACCCATGAACCTCCAAGTAGGCTCCATAGTAGTTCCTTTTTGGGATTACCTTATAGGATCCTAGAAATAAAGCGCCAAAAACTAGCTGCTATGGAGCCTATGGGTAGCTGCCTTAGTGCTTGGGTTCGATGGCGCTTAAGGTCTTTGAAGGTCGAGTGAACCCTCAAAAGTGTCGGGCTCTGCGCCCCTCTACGACGACGAATCCCTTGCATGGTAGTTGAACCATAGGCCCCTAAGTAATTAGTTCCTTTTTGGGATTACCTTGTAGGATCCTAAATATAAGCCCCCCAAAAGGAACTACTTAGGGGCCTATGGGTGAACGTTAAGGCAGTCACGTTTAGGGTCTCAACTCAAAGCCAGAAGCCCTACAAGCTATAAGACGCAATAAGAAATCCCAAGATCCTAAACGCTATAAGCCCTAACTACCCAAAACAGATCCTTGCGCTCGCTTCTGGGAGCCAAGGCCTCGAAAACCGCTGGAGCTATCCGAGGAGGTTGGCATGCACTCTTGAGTTTAGGGGTTCAGGGTTCTGTGTAAGAGGTTCGTGAGATTTCTATGACAGTTCTGTGTGGATTCTGCAAGGGTTCATGTCATGAGGTTTCTATACATAAGGGTTCTCTCATCCTCTGCGGGATCCCTGGGGTTTTCGCTTGTGTGGCTTCCCGTCTACCATTCATTTCGTCATGGTAGGCGAAAGTGTTCCTAAAGAACTCCCAAACCCTGAGCCCCATAATTACTTGGTTTTGTTGTCTCTGTCTAAATGTTCCCCCGTTCTGAGTCTGGTTTTCATTTTGTCTCTCTGGCTCTCTCTGTCGCCCCTCCCTCTGTCCCTCCCTGCCTCAAACCCGAACCTGACAAGGCTCCGTGTGACGCCGGATGAATGTTACCGGTTTGGAGAGGATTAGGGCTGGCTTGCATTTTTGGTTGACTGCACATTTGGAATTGTATCGTGAGGGGTTTAGGGTTTGGGGTTTAGGATCAAGATGTACCATTTTGCTCTATGCTGTGGCCGTGAAGGGGGGTGATTTTAGGCTCGCACATAGAGCCACAGTCTTGACTCTACAGGCAATTGCACAGATACCTTGGGCAAATATTGAGCCCGAAACCCCTAAACCGCTAAAGCCTAAAATCTAGAACCCTAAACCCCTATCAACCCTAAACACCTAAACGCCTACACCCTTAAACCCTAATAATGAACCCTAAACCCCTATCAACCCTAAAGACCTAAACACCTAAACGCCTAAACGCCTAAACCTGCCTTATTGCGTCAGCTGTCCACACTTGGAGGTTCATGGGTAGCTATAAGGATAGTTACCCTACTTGTAACCCCACTTATAACTACCTATGAACCTCCAAGCAGGATCTGCAGCGTCTCTCGGTGGGCACTGGCGTCAGTGCACAGGACTCCTCTTGGGTTCATCCTCAGGGGACTTGCCAGAGAGCCCAATACCCCTTACTTCAGGAATATACCTTAAAGGTTTAGGGTTTAGGGGTTTAGGGTTTATGGTTTAAATTATAGGGACCTTAAAATTATATGGTTTAAGGCATATTCCGTAACAATTAAGGAGTACTTGAGTTTGGCCTTAAAGCAGTCCCTTTGGGCGCAAGGTAGAGGGTAGTTGAGGGATTAGGAATTAGGGGTTAGGGTTTAGGGTTTCGGGTTTAGGGGTTAGGGTTTAGGGACTTCAGCCTTTGTATCGGGTGTGGGTGCATTCCTTCCTGTGTTTCGCATGCTGCTTGATGTTGTTACTATGCATGTACACTGCTGTTCACATGTCTACTGACTCTCTTCATGGGTTCTGCCTCTGCATTATGGTTACGCATGTGCTATACGCAGACTGGTCCCCACATTCTGGACGTTGCGCGGAACAGTAAACGCGTGGTCGGAAGGTGTTGTTACAGGAGCCGCTCTCGCAGGTGAGTTATCTGACACTACCCATAGGCCCCTAAGTAGTTCCTTTTTGTGGTTTATATTTAGAATCCTACAAGGTAATCCCAAGAAGGAACTACTTAGGGGCCTATGGGTAGTATGAACATGTATAAAGTTTGTATGCACCCCTGAACCATGTAAACCCCAAAGCCTGAACACCTGTGACGTGGCAGGAGACACCGTTTCCACTACCGCGGACTCCACCAGGCACACAGCAGTTCCAAAGACAGCCGGTACTTTGCATTTAGGGTGTAGGGTTTAGGGTTTTAGGGTTTTGGGTTTAGGGTTTAGGCATTTAGGGTTTAGGGTTTAGGGTTTAATTTAGGGTTCTATATCCACCGAGATCCGTATTGTTTACAGCAAAGACCGAAGACTTGTGAGAGCAGCAAACCCTCCTCTTCGGCAGGTGGTGTCTTCGCGAAGCCGCAGGCACGCGTCGCTATTGGATTAGAGGTGTTTAAGGGTCGCTGGCCATGTCTGGTTTTGTGGTTTATATTTAGAATCCTATAAGGTAATCCCCAAAAGGAACTACTTTGGGGCCTATGGGTAGGGATGGAGGGTGTGCCATCCTCCTTAAATACAGGGTCTTGCCTGGCTGAGAGAATCTATGGCTCCCATCCTCGCATGACCTTTCGGTAAACCCTAAACCCTTAAACCCTAAACCTTAAACCCTAAACCCTCAAGCCCTCAAACCCTAAACCCTTAACCCCTTAAGCCCTAAACCCTAAACCCTATCTAGGGCCGTGCATTGTTAGACTCCTCGAAAGGATTCTTTCTACTGGTGTTCGAAGAGGAATCCATAATCATGGTCTGGAATATAGGGGGACGTAGTAGTTGCAGAGGGTTTGGGGATCCACTATACCATAAATGCTAGCTAGGGGACGCTATCAGCAATTGTCAATCGTTCTGACCAATTGTTGTTTAGGATTTTTGCCATAAGAGTCAACGAGTTTGGGGATTTGCCGTTCAGGGTTGAAGGATTTGTATGAACTGTGGTGAGTTGGAGGTGCGTGGATCGTTATACGTGGAGTTATAAGTCATAAGTCCCCTATAACAATATATGGGCTGCAAGTGTAGCTGTCCTACTTACGACCCCACATTGAACTACCCATGACCCTTCGCATCAAAATAAGGGGCCCAAAAGCCTTAAAATATGAGGTAAGGGTGAACCTCCAGACAGTGCATTCAGATTTCTCGAAATCAGACCGTAAGCTCTCTGCATTTGTCCGTAGAAGTTCGAGGGGATAATGTCGTGGGCTACTGGCTATGGGCCTTCTTTGAACTATGCAAATATTTAGTAGACAGCTGTGTCTGCAAACCACAAGTATCCCCTGAACCCTAAACCCTAAAGGACCCTTAGCATCAAAATAGCCCAAAAGCCTTATACAATCGGGTATTTGGGCCCAAAAGCCTTAAAATAAAGTTTAAACATTCGGCTCCAACGGAGCCGACAGTCCTACAAGGTACAAGGCGTCGCTGCCGGGAAGCCTCTAGAAGTGATTCCTTGGTGCCCTTAGGGTTTAGGGTTTAAGGTTTAGGGTTTAGGATTTAGGGTTTGGGCTTTAAGGTTTAGGGTTTGAAGTTTAGGGTTTAGGATTTAGGGTTTGGGGTTTAAGGTTTTAGGGTTTAGGGCTTTAGGGTTTAAGGTCTAGGGTCCCTGTGTCAAGGGTCTATAGGCCTGATCCCCTACACCCCCAAGCATTTTCCCGTACTACGACAAACCATAACACACACTTTTTGGAAAACCCCCCAGCAGAGCTTGCCAGGTCCCTAAACCCAGAAACCCTAAACCCTAAAACCCTAAAACTCTAAAGCCCTAAAGCCCTAAAGCCCTAAAGCCCTAACCCCTAAAACCCTACACCCCTAAAGCCCTAAACCCTAAATAACCCTAAACCCTAAAACCCTAAAACCCCTAAACCCCTAAAGTCCTCAACCCCTAAAGCCCTAAAGCCCCAAAGCCCTAAACCCCTAAAGCCCTAAAGCCCGAAAGCCCGAAAGCCCTAAGCCCAGGTCCCAGAGCTTTGGGCACCGCCCTTCTTGCGAGGCCGGCGCTGTCAGCAGGCACCCCGTGGGGCTTTGTTTAGGGTTTAGGGCTGTAGGAATTATAGGGGTTTAGGGATTAGGGTTTTAGGAACTATAGGGGTTTAGGGTTTTAGGGTTTTAGGAATTGTAGGGTTTTAGGGTTTAGGGTTTTTGGGTTTAGGGTTTTAGGAATTATAGGGGTTTAGGGTTTAGGGGTTTGGGGGTTTGGGCTTAGGGTTGAGGGATGTAGGGGTTTAGGGGTTTAGGGTTTAGGGCTGTTAGGGTTTCAGGGTTTGAGGGTTTAGGGTTTAGTGTTACGGAAGCTTAGGGCTCGGGGCCTCTGACCTAGACTCAGCGAGCCCAAATAGCCCTTAATTAAGGAATATGCCTTGGGGTATTGGGCTCTCTGGGGAGAGTCGAAGTACACAAACGCCAGCGTTTCATTTGTAAGTGTCCAGGTACCATGTACCCAACACAGTATAGAACTTTGGCCTAGACGTAGTCCCTTTGTAGGCACTTTGTATACACTGACACTGTATGGGCACATGAACCCGCAGGGTACCGGTTCCAAGACTGTCCGTGGGAATCTTGCCCCAGGCTACTCTTTGGGGACTTAAGACCCCCTTAGAGAGAGTCTGTAGCGCCATAAGTGGCATCATGGCACCCAGAGTCCTCAAGAGAGGGCGGAGCCTCCAAAGTGAATCTCCTCGCGGGTTTGCGTGTAAAAATCTGAACACTTCGAACACCAACGGTAGGCCCTTTAGGTGTGGATCCCAAAACCTACTACTTTCAAGGGCTGTGCCGCAGAATTTATGGTTCTAACCCGGTCTGGGAAGGCCGGAAGGGTTGTGCTGAGGGCGCCGGAACCCATGGCAGATAGTACCCTAAGGGTTCATGTGCCCAAATAGCCGATACTTTGGCTCCAAAGTACCTATACGGAGACTACTTTGGGACCAAAGTATCTACTCTTGGGTACATGGACCCTTATGGGTAGGGCTGTAGGTGAGAAGGTTGGAATCCACATACATTTCATGTGGGACGGTGCTTACTAATCAGGAGGATCTACATCCGCCTTGCAGGTTCTTTAGCATCCAGGTGGGGGTTTGGGGCTTACCCAGAGGCCCCTAAGTAGTTCCTTTTTGGGAGTACCTAATAGGATTCTAAATATGAACCATAAAAAGGAACTACTTAACGGCCTATGGGCACTCAAACTCCAACCCCACACAACGGGAAAAAAGAACCTCGTGAACCGAAGATCTCCTCAGCATCTCCTCCCTGCAGGGGTGCAGAAGAAGCCCCCAGGTGTCCCAGCTCTAAGGGCCTAAGTGCCTGACACGCATATACATCGGGAAAAAAACTGACCTACACTACTATCCTAAAGAACCCCCTGAGTAGACCCTTAATCCTTAAACTCATAAGCCCTTAGAAATCGTGGGCGAGTACATCACCCTTAAGCCTCTTATTCACAGCCAGGCTCCAACCCATTGAAGATCTCTGTCCCTAAGGGTCCATGTGTTGCTGCACCCAAACAACTACCCTGGGGCTCCAAAAAGCCCAAAGTAGGTACTATTTACAGACTTTAGACCCCAAAGTAGGTATTATTTGTATACTTGGAGCCCTGGGGCTATATAAGTTCCTATATAAGAACTGCTTTAAGGCCAATGTCTATGTGCTGATAAGTGCCTGCTAGGATTCCTTGGACTTTACTTTAATGGGCATGTTGGATGGCTTAAATGCAGGATTTAGATCAACAACAGCAGTAAAGTGATAAGAGATCCGAACATTGAACCCTAAACCCTAAACCCTAGATCCGAGCCATGAGCATGCTTACCCCTCATGAATAAAGCCTGGCCTGTTGAGGGCCTTAGCATGAACCTGAGGATCCCTACACTCGCCCCTGTTTGGGTTCAGGGCTATTAGGGATTAGGGTTTAGGGCTATTAGGGTTTAGCGTTTAGGATTTAGGGTTTAGGATTTAGGCTTTAGGATTTAGGGTTTAGGGTTTAGGGCTATTAGGGTTTAGGGCCATTATGGTTTGGGGTTTAGGGTATTCGGGTTTAGGATTTAGGGTTTAGGGTTTAATAGGGGGAGTGGTGAGATACGCCACAGGTGAACAAGGAGCTGCACCCTGACGGCAAGCTGGTTTGGCGTCAGTGGTTGTGGATCCAGTGTTTGTGTTTAGGGCTTATGGGGTTGTACTGGTAGGATTACTTTGTCAAGTTTGATGGTTCGGGAGGTAGTGGCGTCGGGACTTATAGTGCTTAAAGCCGATTCATTACAGTAGGGTCCGGTTGAGCTCGGTGCACACCCACCCAAGCCACCCACCCACTTACCCATGCACGCACACACAGCCACAACTAACATACATAGGCACACACGCACACACGCACACACACGCACACACAAGAGGAGTCTGCCGAGCCGGATTCTTGAGAGTTACGGTACACTCAGGTTTGCAATGTAGATAGATCAATCGACTCGTCAATCGACAGATAGATAGGTGATGATAGATAGTGATAGGTAATATGTGAATTCTATAGTTACACATGTATATATATGTATATATATATATAGAGAGAGAGAGAGAGAGAGAGAGAGAGATTGAGAGAGAGAGAGAGAGGGAGAGAGAGAGAAACAGAGACAGAGAGCAAGAGACGTCTTGGAGAATGTCCCAAACCTGTGAAACCTTGGTCCCTTCTTGAACTCCCGCCACCCGCAACCCTCAACGCCGTTCCCCTAGAGCCTCCGACCATAAACCCCAATACACCCTAAGGCTCCATGCCCTCATATACTATACTCCATGTGGGTAGTTCTCTAAATGAAGGTCCCTTCTAGGATCCTTATTGTAAGGGTGCCGTAGTATTTTGGGGGAATTTAAGATGGGAGCCTAATTTAGAGACTTTCTCATATGTGCTTAGGCCTTGAAGTACCGATACTGGAACCCTCTTAGGGCCCAAGGCGGGCTAAGTATAGACTACAGACGTACATGGAATTAGGGACACATGTAGCATCCTGTCGGTCGGTAGCGAAAGCCCTCTGGCCATAAACCCTTAGCACCAAGACCTTCCAAAGTAGGTATAGAAGTATTGCCCGATATTTCTAAAACGGCTCTTATGCTACATACTTTTGGGGGTCCAGTTAGGCCCAAAACCCTCAGGAACGAAATCCCTCTCATACGTCCTCTTTCCGAGCGCCTGCAAGTCGCCCCGGCGTGGCTTCCCAGACTGCTTCAGGGACTCAGGGCTTGGCTCAGGGTTTATAGGGTGCCTTAGTTTGAGTCTGGAGGGGATTCGGCTTTATCACTTATGCGGTTTAAGTAGGGGTGTTATTGAGCTCGTGGTTTACGCAGGGTTAAGTAGGGGCATTAGGGTTCATGGTTAAGGTGTTAGGGTTTAGGGTAGTGCTGTTCATCTTAGGATTTCGATGCCGTACAGCCTGTGTAGGGAGTGTAGGGCTCAGCGCTTGGAACGTAGCCTGCATCTCAATGTAGGGTTCCATGCAAACCCCAGTTAGAAGGGCCCAAGTTCTCAAATGGGAGAGCTCTAGCTAGGTACCAAAAGACTCGGAGTACAGATTGTGGGACGTACAACCCGACCATGTTGTTCGGGTATATTGGATACTAGCAAAGCCAAGCCCTAAACTGAAAGAAAAGCTTCAACAGTAGTAATACGGTTGATGACATAAATCCTGCAGTACCCATAAAAAAGAAAATACCATAACTCCCATAATTTAGGGTCCTTAAGGTCATGCAGGATTTCTATCATCACATGACATCCCAGGTCGTTGTGGGCGTTGGCTTCCTCTTGTTGGCCGCCACGTTCCTGCTTTACGGCATCGGTGGCCAGCTGGTGTGCCCCGGAGCAGGTTTAGGGTTTAGGGTTTAGGGGTTATGGTTTAGGGTTTAGGGTTTAGGGAGGGTGTCATGTGATTCTTGGAAAACCCTAAACCCATAGCCTCCTAAACCCTAAACCCTAATGCCTATAGAAGCTACCCTAAACCTTAAACCCTAATTAAGCCCGATGGAACCTACCCTAAGCCTTAAATGCTACTTCCTTCACCCTATAAACCTCAAACCGTGAACCTGCTCTAAACCTGAAGCCCTTGTAGAGCTTCATGTGGTTTACGCTGTGGGCGCGGAGGCCTGAGGTTTGGCTTGAGTGTTTCCCAGAGAGCCCTTAAATAAGGAATATACCTTAAACTATAGGTGCCTTAATGTTATGATTTAAGGTATATACTCCTTAATTAAGGGGTATTCGGCTCTCTGGGTTCCAGTTTGGGTTGAGGGGTTCAAAAGTTCAGAAATCCGGATCCGGGAGGTGAAAGGAGGGTTGAGGGTTTAGGGTTCAGGGTTTAGGGTAACAACTATCTACAAAGCTTATTCGATTGCGCAGAGGGATGTGGCGCGTGACCGTGACTTGTCCGACTGGACTTGCGACGAGGATCCGAAACCCCAAAGCTCAAAGCCCTAAACCCAAAACCTCAAACCCCAAAGCCCTAAACCCTAAACCCTAAACCTTAAACCCCAAAGCCCTAAACCCTACACCCGAAACCCGAAGCACAGAAAGCTGAACCCCGAAACCCGAAGACCCCAGACCCGAACCCGAGCCCGAACTCTGCTCTTTCTGATTGACCTGTCAGTGTAGCCCGGATCCATTGCTGGTGCGCTTCGAGATTTGGGGAGGGGGGGGGGGAGTAGGCATTCGAGTTTGAGCTTTTGTTAGGTTGCGTTTCAGGAGTTTGCGCTTGTGAGCTTGGGCGTCGCATCTACATGCCCCCGGACAGCCTGGCGCAGTGTCTGATCAAATCCTACACACCCTGAGCTCCCATATAGCCATTTATACTTGGAGGTTCATGGGTAGTTATAAGTGGGGGTATAATTAGGGTAACTGCAGTTATAACCCCTATTACGGGACTTAATTTCCTACTTACAACTACCCATGAACCTCCAAGTACTCAAGGTGCACTCTCTTCGGCGTGGCGTTTCCCGCCTTCGAGTCTTTCAAGGCTGCCATGGTTTGACTAGGGTTTGGGGTTTAGGGTTAGAGCTTAGGGTTTGGGGTTCAGGGAGAGACTGGGTGCTTTTTGCAGTGCACGGGCCTAGGTTTGGGTTTGGGGGTTAGGGTTGAGGGTGCGCATATGGAGGGCGCTGAAGTGTTGCACTACGTCTTTTAAAAAGTGGCTTCTGTGTGGATGTCCATGAACGGGACATTTTCTTCAGACTGGTATGATGGATAAGTCTGCGGCGTGTTCTCCTGATGCATCCTCCCTGGACAGTGAACCCAACAAGTTCTAAGAACCCCAAACCCTAAACCCTACAGCTACGTCTTCAGTTCCATCGCTGCAAGACTAGGTCCCTGAGTGGTACCCTTTTGCCCTTTTTATTTTCGAGCCCCCTTACTAAAACCGAATAGTAGGAAAAAGGGTACCCTTATTGGGAAACCAAAAAGCCCGAGCTCCCCAGTTCGTTTCCAGGGCCTCGGTCGTTGCCTCGACCTTCAACGCATCATAAGCTTGGTACGGTGGATGATAAAAATCTGATAAAGTACCCATCATAAGGAATGTACCAATGATTCCCATAGTTTAGGGCGGATGCTTAAGGTAATGCAGGATTTATATCATGAGCTGTATGAGTGGCTTTTGTGAGAGCAAACTGACTGTTCAGGCTACTAAATGCAGTTTGTCTTTCGCATGTAGATCTGACTCAAACTGTCAATGATGGGTTGTTTGGACCCGCACCGGGGGGGGGGGCCCAATGTTCAAGGATTTTATACTTGGGTTTAGGGTCATGTGAGCAGGTTACTGGTGCTGGGAGTATATGTTCTTATCCTAGGACTATGGGCCCCTGCGTAATGAACCCTCTTCGCTCACATCAAGATAGAATTCATGCATAGGAGTCTACCTAATACTATTGCTAATTCCCGGAAAGAACAAACCTTCATCAATCCTTGGTCGAGAGCCGAACCTCCGGCAGATACTTGTGGATATCAGTTTGCCTGATTGGTGTGGCGACCCGTGTAAGCCCTCATAATACCTCCGAATACCTCTTACCCGACACGGAACGAAAGCCACATTAGTGGATGCCGAGGTTTAACTCACTTCTCCAATACCCAACCTTCAAACTTTTTGGGTTGTTATAACTTAGTCGTAATCTGAAAGTGTAACCTTTTATTTTCCTGGCTTATTGGGGAAGTAAATTAAACCCTGAACCCTAAATCTAAACTCTAAGAGTGACTGAAGCTGAGAGGCTGTGGAGGAGTTTGCGAACCTCAAGGATGGAGCAGCTCGCTGTGAAACGGAAGAACCTCCGGAGTTGCAGGGCTTAACGCAATGTAGATGCGTGAATTTCGTTTAAACAAATCGCATCAACATGACCTATGCCATAATCTACTCCAAAGCCGTACTTTTTCTGAGATTGAGACCTGTTGGGTTTAGGGTTTGTTTGGTGCGTGTGGGGGGTTTCTGTATGTTGGTAGTAAGGTGTAAACAATCGTTCTTCGACGGAATGGTTTGCAATTACTCCTCTTAAACTTACTAAACCTAAACCGTTAATAATCCTAATCCCTAAACGCTAAATCCTAAACCCTAAATCCTAAACCCTACTGCAGGGTAGTAGTTACTACGACCCTTTCCGCCCAAGAACCTCGGTCTTGGGCACTTGGACCCTTAGAGCCTTAGTGGGTTTAGGGTTTTTGTTTTTTTGGTGGTTTTGGGGATTTTGGGGCTTTGGGTGTAGGATTTAGGATTTAGGGTTTAGGGGTTTTGGGGTTATTGGGGTAGTAATAATGCCTTGGAAGATTTTGGAGGGGAGTATGTCGATGATTCTACGTTGGGACCGTGTTGGGTGAGACTCCAAAAACGGAGCCTTAAAAAGACGCTAATAAGAGGCTCCATATAAACTGCCATTATGGAATTACTTATGCCTCAAAAAACCATCATTCTTCAGGGGCGTAATTCCATAGGTAGTAGTATATACGGAGCCTCTGGGAAAGCCAAGATCAATCCATGCTCGTGTCGCCAAGGACGACAACGCAAATGTGTACCGCAAAGCCTCAGGACACTTGGCAAGCACTTCCTGCACCCCAAATAACTAACCTGTCTAGGGCTCCCTATCATGATGTCCTTGTACAGTTCTCCCTAGACAGGCAAGATATGTCTGGAGATCGGCCATTTCGACTGCTTCGTTTGGGCTCTTCTTGTGAATCCAGTTTTCCAAAAGGGGTCGCAGTATTTTCAATACTAGCCGTCAGGGATTATGCGCTACACATCATGACACTGTACCCCCCAAAGCCAAGGTAGGCTTGGGGATAAAAGGTAAGGTGGGGATGCTGCAGTACCTGAGGCATGCAGTTCTGGCTCACCTACTGGATCGTGGTGGCGGCCATCACTTCCTTCGAATGCCTCCTCTACTATGTCGTCGTGTGGGTTCCCTTCTACTACCCGTTAAAGCTTGGCACGCTCATGTATCTGCAGCTCGCACGCATGAAGCTAAACCCCAAACCCTACTTACAGGGCCCTACCCCTTCTTTAGGGTACCAGTTCTTCTATATCACTGCCTACCTTAAAAGAGGGGGTAGGGTATCCCAAACCCAAAAGCCTGAACCCAAGAGATGTCTATCAAGCAGGATTCAAGTTAGGGGCCCCGGTTCACAGCTTGCGAGCCTAGCTCAGAGACCGCGAATGCCGGACTCCCCTTCTAAGGCAGGTTTAGGTTGGTTGGTTGGTTTAGGGTTTAGGGTTTAGGGTTTAGGGTATAGGCGGTACAGGATATAGGGCTCAGGGTCTAGAGGTTAATGGTTGTAGGGTTCAGGGGTTCCTGCACCCCTAAGCCCAACAGTTAATTGCGATAGAGAAGCTGTTGTGCAGGGCCCGGGCTTCAAACCTTAACCGTGGGTGTAGGGTTTAGGGTATGTCAGGGTTAACCCTAAACCTTAAACCCTAGACCCTAAACCGTAAACCCTAAACCCCTGCACCCCTAAACCCCTAAACCCTAAACCCTAACACCTAAACCCCTAAACCCTAAACCCCCAAACCCTAAACCCTAACCCCAAACCCTAAGGCTTAATCCTGACATGCGCCGTTCCCCAGTAGGATGATTTGCCGCCCCACATGGGCGACAGCAGGAGCCGGGCGAGTTGATCAAGAGGGTCCATATGATACTACTAGTATGGAATTATAGGTTTAGGGCTTAGGGTATATAATCGGGTTTAGGGATCCCTTCCCAAGAGGGTCCATATATGTACTGCTATGATGGAGTTAGGTCCCCCGAATACCCTTATTACGATGGTCCTTCCATAACGGTAGTGTATGTGGACCCTCTGGGCAAGTTGGTAATACTGTCATATAGGGTTGTACCGAACACGAACCCACCAAAAGAAGTAAAGGACTTTGGGGTCATATGGGAGCTGTTGTGATAGCTCCTCCAAGAAAAGCGCAGGTATGTGCCACAGACACGTGGTGCCAACCATGTGTACAATTGGCTGCTTGGCATCACTGTCAACTGATCCTAAGTACCTTCATGGTGATATGTCCGCGGGGGGACTGGATGTCATGCCAACTCTGTAAATTTTTACGGAGCCGAGCCGATAGGCCTATGAATGGCACCGAGTTTTTCTTTTTTTCGGGAGCCCCAAACAACAAAGTATGGAAGCCGTACGTTGTGGAGTCATTGTCTTTGTCGTCTCGAAGTGGTGAAGCTCCCCCTAGAGGTTCTGAGAATGAAGTATGAGGCCCAGAGATCTGGCTCGACTGTATACAGCTACAGTGTGGGTTTAGGGTTCAGTGCCCCCACTTACTGTTCTTCTTGGGTAGACAAAGTTTCTGCCAAGCCGAACTCCGGGAATTCCGCCACTCTCATCCACTGGTGACTCAGTAGCATTCCTATTCCCCCTTCAAGGCAAGGTTCTGCAGGCTGTAAGGGGCTGTATTGAACATGCCCCCTTCATTCTCATCTTCAACACACGGCTTTTTTGTTGGTCACAGTGCCTGCTGGCCTTATGCGAGCCTGCAGGGATTAGCAGTCTAGGGCTGCGGGGCTGCAGTTTGCATTGGTTGAGGGATGTATGGTGGTTGGGTTGGTCAGGGGTCTGCGTTATTGATGGGACCAACTGCGCAAAAAGAGCACCCCCCCCCCCAGACCAGAACAAGTAGTTAGAACTAGCTGCATGCTTCGATTGTTTAACCAGGAGGTTTTGCTTTATTCTACCAGGTAGTTTCTCGTCGAGCTAACCCATCTTAAACAAGTCGGGAAGCAAGGCAACAGACAAAGCAAGTTGAAACCCTATAAACCCTCGGCCCTAAGCATAAGCCAGTCCTTATAGGACTCCTTAGAAGCATGCTAGTATAATATACCCCAAAACCCTGTTCTAAAAAATCAGGCTCCTACAGTATTAAGATAAGATACTGAACACCTTTAACTCCTCAACGGGATGTCATGCTCGGAGGTTCGTGTTGCCTTTCTTGAAGCGAAACCGGGACACGATCGACAAGACGATTCAGGTCTTTCTCGGGAATTGGATGCTAGGATCGTTTCAGCGTTTTGGGCTGAGGATGAAGGGGTTTGGGATCCCAGAAAGTAACCCTTATAGCAGCCTTAAGCCCTAAACCCTACGCCCGCAAGATTGACCCTTTTGGTAGCCTTAAGCCCTAAACCCTAAGCCCCCAAGATTAACCCTTACAGCCCTTGGAGGAACCCATATTAGAACCGGGGTTGAGGACGAAGCGAAGAAGCTTGAAGCCTGTACAAAAAAAACGTCCAGAGAGTGCAAGCAGTACCGAGAAGTCTTTTTACAGCTATCTCACGGCTCGAACCTGCCCCAAAGACTTGAGTTGTAATCAGACTCTAAACCCGGAAGTTGTAAACTCCTATATACACCCTAAAACCTGCGATTCGTGAGACTGTTCTTGTATAGTACCTCAACCCTATAAACCCTAAACCCTAAGCCCTAAACCCTTACTGTAGGAGTCTGGGAAGAAGCTGCGGAAGAGCGTCAGCAACGTGGCTAACAATGCGCCTTGGCTGCAGGGCTTTTTGTCCGAAAAAAGCCCAAACTGTGTAAGATTTAGGGTTCAGGTTTTAGGGTGTTTAGGGGTTTAGGGGTTAGGGGTTTAGGGGTTTAGGGTTTTAGGGTGTTTAGGGGTTAAGGGGTTTGGGGTTAAGGGGTTTGGGGTTCAGGGTTTAGGGTTTAGGGTTTAGGGGGGCTTCAGGGTCCATGACCGAGGGGCCAAAAGGCCTCAAAATGCGAGTCTTTACAGGCCCGTCAGGGCCCCAACCCAACCGACAGTCCTGAATCCTGAACTCACAATTGTAAACCTGGATCCTTGTTGGATACAATTTTACATTTAAATTTTGCTATATTAAAGCCCTAACAAGGATGAAAGATGATCATCTTTAATATGGCCCCATCAGGGAACCAGAGGCTCCTTGGTGGTAACCCATAGATAGAGCCCTTTTGTGAGCCAAAAAATAAACCCTAAACCCTAAAAACCCAAAAACCTTAAAAACCCTAAAAACCCATAGAGCCCTTTTGCGAACTAAGCCGCCGACGAGAGCACGCCTCGAGAGCTCCACAGGCCGTGGATGCGGGCATCGGCGTGGGGAAGCAGGGAGTGGCGGGGTACCCGGATGATGCCTTCCTTTCCCTAGGGCTCCAAGTATACAAATAGTACCTACTTTGGGGTCTAAAGTCTGTAAATAGTACCTACTTTGGGCTATTTGGAGCCCCAGGGTTTCGAGCAAGACTTGAGCATTACTAGTGTTGTAAACATCGCAAGCCGCTGCTGAGGGTTGAGTCATGCGGGGTTGAGGCGTATACTAGCACATTATAAAAGCAAGTCACTGTGCTTGGATGTCTTAGTGGTCATCGTGCTAGCACGACTATCGCCATGGTTGGTTTCTCATACGACTGCCGTGATACCGTTGAACGGTCGGAACAAGAAGCTTGCATATGACAAAGTCCCTACGGCCTTACAAACCTTCTAGATCCTTATGCAACCCTGCCAACTCCCTATGACTTTTCACAAACTCGAGCTCTTTCATAAAATCCTAACCCCTGAGCCCCCTCCCGGGAAAATGATTGACAGCCGTGCCCAAACGCAACCCCTAAAGAAGCCCCCACAAAAGAAAAAAAAAGCAAAGTTTATCAACAAGAGCAGGCCTCTCCCCTATCGAATCCCGAAGATCCCTTAGAGGAGCCCGTAAGAGAACCCACAAGACCCACACCGAAGCCCACGGAAAGCCCTCTGAGGTTCGACTCCGACGTGGTTTGACCATGGTGGGGCCCGGGATCGAAACGGTGAGGCAAGCGGCTGCCGGTGATTTCGGGCTCGGGGTTTAGGGCTCCTTTAGGTGGTTCTACAGGGTTCAGGGCTCTTTTCGGAGGTTCTATAGGGTTTAGGGCTCCTTTATCCTTTAGGGGTTCTATAGGGTTTAGGGCTCCTTTAGGTGGTTCTACAGGGTTCAGGGCTCCTTTAGGTGGCTCTATAGGGGGGCTCCCCCTAAACCCGGAAGTCTACACCTTAAAGCAGGTTCTACATCCTGCTTAGGGTTCTCGTGCTTTGCACTGTGCCGGGTTCCGGGGGTTTACTTTCAGAGGGTCTCAGAGGTCTCAGGATTCTTAGTGGAATCTGGTGCCGGGACTTTTCCAGTGTCCTATGATGCCCTGATTCATAAGGTTTTCAGGGTGTTATGGGTGGAGGTAGCACTGCGGCCCTTCTAGGAGCTAGACACAGGATGCCTATTCTGCAAAGCATAAATCCCCACCAGCCTCGAAACCAAAACCCCCCAAAACCGCAACTCCTGAACTCGCGAAGTTCCAACTTCGAAAGTCCCCCGAAGAGGTAGTATATATATATATATACCCTAGGCTTCCAAGGACCTTATAATTATAGTTAGGGCCCTAGACCCCTTATAAGGACCCAATAATAAGGTCCCTGGAAGCATAGGGTATATATATATATATACATACATATATTATCTCCCTGGAGTGCCGTGAGAATTACTTGCAATAGTATCCAAAGCCATCCAACGGCCCATTCTAACTGTGAAGGATGCTAAAGCACCGAGTTGAGAGGCATTTCGTTGGTGCAGAGATTGCTCGGCGCACGCACCGCGAGGACGGCTGGCTAGAGTCAGCTCTTAGTTTCGCCTTGATTAGGGTGTCAAACTTGGGGTTTAGGGTTCATGGATCTCGAGTTCAGTATTTTGGCTTGGGGACTTTGGCTTAAGCTGACGTCGGGCTGTCTGTTGATTCTTAGTGAGTCTTTCTTCAGGAACTATCACTTGGACATGTCTTCTGAGGGCTACTTTACCTGGAAACGATCCAAGGCCCCTTTTCAAGCTCGGTGGCTTGAGTCTGCAACAATCCCTTAACCCAAAACTCTAAACTGGGAATTGCATCTTCGCGGGCACTGTGGTGTGAGGCAAGGTGGCACAGCCCCCGGGTCGTCTCGGAAAGGCAGATCCCTCTCGTGTTTAGGGTTTAGGATACCGGGTTTAGTACCAATTTGACGTTTAGGGTTTAGGGTTCAGGTTTTAGGGTTTAGGGTTTCGGGTTTGATCGGGGGGCACATCCGTCTCAAGCCTTCGGTGGCAGGGACCAGTGGTACCGGCGCAATGTGCAAGCTCCGCGCAGCCCAGGGTACGTGATGGAGATGATGTTGCTGCATGGCCTGTGACTCCCACAATAAGCCCATACAAGCCCCATGATTCAAGGATAATGCGTTCATAAAATAAACGGGCATATTGGGCTCATGATTTATTTGCACGGTAATCAGCAGAGTTTCAACTTTTACCCTGAATCTTTGCGTAGAGGATTCTAGAGTCTAGAGGCTCGGAAGTCAAATATTCGAATGTGCTCGGCACCAAGAGCCTGAGCCCTGCACCCCCTCAAGCCCTATGGCACCGCATAAACTCGCAGGAGCCCTCTTAATACAAGCGGTCTGAACTAAGTGACAGCGTTCCTTTGGGTTCAGCTCTCAGGTTTATCGCAGAATCCCCCGAAAGCCTACTGGAGCTGATGCGGCCCCGATGGCCCCTACACCCTATAGGCCCCCTGTATGGGCAGTTCTCTAAACTCGGGTTAGGGGTTCGATCAGGGTTTAGGAGCAGCTCAATTAAACTCCTATCGGTCCTATCAGGTTCCCAAGACCCACGCCAAGATCAAGCCTGTCAAGTTGGCGAAGGCTAAGGCTCGTCCCAGGGCCCGACCGAGGGCCCGTCCCACGGCCAGATTTGCAGTCCAGGGCCCGTCCCAGCATGCGGCCAGATTTGCTGCCGGGGCCAAATGCCCTGCCGGAAGCAAGCTCGGTCTATGAGATACACTGGGTGGACGTCCGACCCAAGCTGCCGCCCCTTCTGCAGAGCCCGCCGTGGTCCTCGCGAGAGGGATGGTGCATTCAGGTGCATATCCCGCCCTCTCTCGGAACTATCCACCGGCCTAGCGGCCAGACCTTTTCTGTCTGTCTTTGGGCGAGCACCCGCGCTGGCTGGATCCCTTTTAGGGTCACGTTTTATAAGGGTGCCGTACTATCTTGGGGACCTAAAAAGGGACCCCCAATTTAGAGAACTTCCCGTCTTAAACAGACTAGCCCTAAACCCCTAAGCCCTAAACCCTAAACCCTAAAGCCCCTAAGCCCTGTAGACCCTAAACCCTTAAAAATAAGCCAAAACCCCAAACCCCTAAGGCCCTCTTTTCTTAAACAAGCTGAAGCCCCAAACCCCCAAGCCCCTCAACCCTAAACCCTAAACCCTTATAGACCCCTTATAGATCCCTTATAGATCCCTTTAAAGAAACCCTTATAGATCCCTTTAAAGGAACCCCTAAAACCCCTGAAGCCAAGCTTCTCGGAGGAGTCGCCGAAAGCTCAAGAGGAGCACCGGCCGAAGGGTGACATTTCTGGGGGCTCAAGAGTTCAGCCTTTAGGGGAAAAGGTTTAGGGTATAGGGTTCAGGGTGTAGGGTTTAAGGTGTGTAAACAGTGTGCGCGCGGTGGGTGCGCCTTTGACTTTAGGAATAGGGGCGCACCCACTAATCGCGCGCTTGCGTCAGCATGTAGTCCCGCCCCAACCACCCCTGGGGTTTAGGGTTCAGGGTATAGGGTGTAGGGCATAGGGTTTAGGGTATAGGGTTTAGGGTATAGGGTTTACGGTTTAGGGTTTGGTGTATAGGGTATATATTTAGGGTTTTGGGTCTAGGGTTTAGGGTTTCGGGTATAGGGTTTAGGGTATAGGGTATAAGGGTTTAAGGTTCTAGAAAGGTCTGAGGGGTTGTGGGTCTTTCCGGGTTTAAGGATTCTTGTGCGAGTTTCTTGAACGGTGGTAGGATGAATTGGAGCTCGTACAGGCTTCCCTGTAGCGTCCGGCAAGTTCATCAAATTTCGGGTTTAGGGTTTAGGGTTTAGGTCGATCTTGGCCAGGTGTTGTTGCTCGCAAGGCTTACCACATCCGCTTGAGGGCCTCAGGGCCCTGCAAGAGAGGAGGGCCTAGTCAGTAGGCATGTGAAGGGTAGCTACATCGGTATGGCAAAAAAGAAGGTTAACCTTAAACCTTAACGCGCTATTCCCTAAGGCCCTACAATATCTCCTATCCTGAAACCACAAATTCCAGGCCCTGAAATACTCAATATGCTTAACCCAGATGGGTAGTTCGCTCAACGAGGGCCCTTTTTCACATCCCAAATATAATACGGCAACCTTACATTAAAGGACCCTGAAAGGGATCCAAATTTAGAGAACTACCCAAATACTACCCTTATAGAAACCCTTATACAGATCCCTTCAAGGAGCCCTAAACCCCGGAAAGGGCACCCAAATTTAGAGAGCTCCCCAAATGCTAAGACCCCCAAAGGCCCCCCAACACCCCCAAAACCCAGGCTCCGAGGGCCCGACAAATGGCCAGGGCTTTGGGTTTAGGGGTTTAGGTGTTTTTGGGGGCTTTGGGTTTAGGGGTTTAGGTTTTTGTTTGGGGGTTTAGGGTTTAGGGTTTAGGGGTTTAGGTTTTTGTTTGGGGATTTAGGGTTTAGGGGTTTAGGTTTTTGTTTGGGGGTTTAGGGTTTATAAGGGGTTTATAGGGATTTATGCCTAACAAACCCTATAAGCCCTATAAATCCCTAAACCCTAAAGCCCTGTTCATAAACCCTAAACCCTAAACCCCTACTTACACTAAACCCTAAACCTATAAACCCTAAGCCCTGAGCCCTAAAAGCCTTAAACCCTAAACCCCTAAACCCTAAACTTTAAACCCTACGTCCCTAATTCCTAAACCCCTAAACCCTGAACCCTAAAAGCCCTAAACCCTAAACCTATAAACCCTGATTCCCTAATACCTAAACCCTAAAAGCCCCAAGCCCGAATATAAGCCCTAATAAACCCTATAAGCCCTATATACATACCCTAAAAGCCCTAATAACCCGTATAAAGCCCTATAAATACCCCAAAGGCCCTAAAAACCGTAAAGACCCCCAGGTGCCGCCTGTCGACCAAAGACTACCCTGATAGAAACCCTTATACAGATCCCTTCAAGGCCTATAAACCCTATAAATACCAAAAAAACCCTATAACCCTTCTAAGCCCTAAGCCCTAAAAGCCTTATAAGCCTTAAAAGACCATCCAAAAGCCCCCAGGAGCCGCCTGACGACTGCTTCGAGGCGATGCCGCCACCGCCGGAGCCGGCGGAAGCAGAAGCCGAGTGAGGCCCGGGGGTCTTTGTGGGTTTAGGGGTTTCGGGTTTTTTTAGGGGTTGAGGGTTTAGGGGGTTTAGGGGGTTTAGGGGTTTAGGGGTTTAGGGTGTGGGGGTTTAGGGTTTTAGGGCTTTAGTGTTTTAGGGGTTTAGGGGTTAAGGGGCTTAGGGTTTAGGGGTTTTGGGTTTAGGGTTTAGGGGTGTAGGGTTTATGGGTTCGTAGGGCTATTGGGTCCTATATACCCGTTATTCTAGAGGGGTTCGTAGGGCTTTTAAGTTCTATGTGCGTTCAGCGTTTTGTTTTTTGGAGGGGGTTTAGGGTTTTGGATAGTGTGCTTTTGGGTTTAGGGTTGAGGGTCTGGGTTTTTATACGGATCTCGGGTTTCTATAAGGTTTCTACAGGTTTCTTGTGGGGGAGTGCTTTTAGGCTGTATAAGGGTGTTTAGGGTCTTAGGGCCGTTGTTGTTCGGATGTTTGAATTTATGGGTCCCGCGAAGGGTAGATGATGTCTTTGGTTTTCAGGAGGCCCTTTTAAAGGAGCTTATCTGCGTGCACATGATGTGGTTGTTTTCGGTGGGTTTTGCTTCAGACTATACACCGTAAGGCCTTTCAATGGGCCTTTTATTTCTTTGATGGGACCCTAAACCCTAAACCCTAAACCGTGGGACCTTCAAAACGAGCACGAGGTTAAAGCAAAAAAACTATACCCCCTAAATCCGAATCTCGTAACACCCTGAGAATCCTACAGAGCTTCCGAAGCACCCTTATGAAACCCTAGTTTAGGTTTAGGGATTAGGGTTTAGGCAATTTTGTGATTTTGTGTTTAGGGTTGTACAACGCATGCCAAATACACAGTAGGGCATAAGAGTTTGCCCCCCAAACCCTGTTCCTTGTTCTATCTGCAAAGGCCCTTTTCATACTACCCGGTCCAGACCCTAAACCCTGAACCCTAAACCCGAAACCCTAAACCCTGAACCCTAAGCCCTATAAGCCCTAATGAAACCCTCAACGCCAGGCAATGCCGAGATTTTCCTTCGGTACATGGTGGGCTTTCCCGCCTGGAATTAGCCGCCTGATTGGGGGAACGTTGCAAGGGCCTGCACTCGAACATCAGGGTGGTACGGTTCATGATATATTCATATATATATATATATTCATATATATATATATATCCTGCATGACGCATAATAATCATTTTACCATAATTCCCATAGTTTAGGGTCCCTAAGGTAATGCAGGACTTATATCATCAACAGTATCAGAGCGGAAATCCTCCAAACACCCTATGCAACCCCGAAAAGGGCCCCAATCCTGACGCCCATACAACCCGGAGGCCAAGGGCTCCAGTTAGTTTAGAAAACGGCTACTGGGGTTTATATACGGTTTCGAGTTTAGGCTTGTCACAAGGGTTTTGGGTTTATAGGGTTGCTGGGTTTTTGGGTTACATACTGTATGGCCAGGAACGGGAGATTTTAGGGACAGCTAAGAGAAAGCTTGCGCCTGACCTCCCCCCACCGGGTACTAGGACGCCTTCAGAGCGCTTGAGGCGCAAATTCGAACCGGTCGGCGGCGGGCGCCCGAACAAGGGAAAGCAACATAATCCTACACATCCTTGCAAGGGCGATATTAAAGCCGAAATTTAAGGAAGGACCATCGAAGGGTTTGTTTATGCCGTTTTGGGTCCCAAAGTGCTTTTTCAACTTCTTTTGCGCTTGTGCTTAAACCTTAGCTGGCTAAAGACACGCATATTATAAGCAGTTACTTATTATCTCGGGGATGCTAGGGAACGGAGTTTAAGGGTAAAGGTGTGCAATAGGGGCCGCCTTGATACCATAACCATTACCTTTAGCATCAAAACAGCCCAGAAGCCTTATATTATAGGGTCCTTGGGTCCAAAAGCCTGAGCATATAAGTCCTTTGAGGGTAGGGTTAATCAGTACCTTAAACCCTAAACCCTAAAACGATACCCCCAAACGACAAAACACGAAAAAAGCGAAGCATGACAGCAACAACAAGCCTAAAACACTGAAGCTCTAGACCCCGAATGCTGCGAGCCTGCCACCCTAAACCCTAAACTTGCCCTAAACCCTAAACCCTCAACCCTAAACCCTATCCGACTCTCTGGCCCTCAGAGCGCCTTCTAGAGAACTGGCCACCGGCTTTTGCGAGGGAGCAGGCACTTCCAACCGTCTAGGGGCACCATAGGGCCCCTAAGTAGTTCCTTTTTAGAATCCTACTAGGTAATCCCAAGAAGGAACGACTTAGGGGTCTATGGGCATAGGTAACTTCTATATCACAACTCCTTTGGTTTAGGGTTTAGGGAGTTTAGGGTCAATGGAGCTCAGGCCCTGTAACAAGCCTATCCTCCAAGCTCCCAAACCGTACGCCAACTTCTGAAACCAGCTGCAAGACGTGCTTCCCAAAAATAAAGTTTAGTAGGGTCTATGGTGTTTAAGGGTTACAGTCTGCCGGATCCTCCAATTTGCCCTAGAATTACCTGGACACCCCAAAAAGTATGCAGAGTCATAGCTTGTTATTGGTGTTGGACTATTAACTTTGCCTATTCTGGGGGAGTGCGGGGGGAGGTAGGGAAGGCATGCTCCTCACATCATACTCGGGATCCTATCATGATTTGAGGTATACACAGAGGCCTCTAAGTAGTTCCTTTTTGGGATTACTTTAGAGGATTCTAAATATAAACCACAAAAAGGAACTACTTAGGGGCCTATAAGTACTCCTCAAGTCAGGGATAGTGGAAGATCGGGGCAACCACCTGCAGTTCCCTAAGCCCGAGCACGTCAAGCCCTGTGCGGTAATCATAACGCCTAACTAAAGCGCCGTAACGCACCTAGGCTCTGACGTATTTTTAATCAACCTAAACCCGATTGTTTTTGGAGCCGTCAGCAGCCTCAAAGAGCCAGCCCCCGAAACCCTCAACCCTAAGCCCTAAACCCTAAACCCTAAACCCGAACCCTAAACCTAAACGCCTGGCTCCCTTCCGAAGCCCAAAGGACGTTTTGCCTCACCAGGAGGGTCCTTCAGGTCCACAAAAGAGGATTTACGGTTGTATGTTCCAGGATAGGGGGCTTAGTGGAGGCAGGTTTGGGATCACGGCTAAGGGTCCATGTACCCAAATAGTATGTACTTTGGCCCCAAAGCACCTTTATAGGGACTACCTTAAGGCCACAGCATATACTATTTGGTACACAGACCTTTAGAGGGGGCTTCAGGTTTGAGCGCTTGTAATGGTGCTTTGAGGACTGGTGGTTGGGTTCACAATGGTCTACGTGCGTATGTAGGTATGTATGTGTGTATG